GTTACGAGTGTCGTAAGACTTTCAACCGCTAGCGTTCCATAAAAGACATATTAAGATGTTATTAAAGGATTCTATGGTACAAATGTTACCTCCATATGCATCAGGCATTCTTTCAATTGTGTACCTAAAATTAAACAAATTAGATTAAATCTTCTTATTAGTAGACCTGTGACACTAAACTCTCCATGTACTGCACACACACTGTCCATTGATATTGTATCTTGATTCACCCTCCCATGTTCAAAAACTTACATGTGCATGTTGGTGTTAAGATAAAACAACACATATAAACAGGCACAATGTGCACAAGATGTCGAAATGAGCATGATGCAGCACATTCATCTTGCAACTGCAAAGCTGTAAGCCCATACACTATCTCTCTCTCTCTCTCCTATAGATGTGTATATAGTTAGGTATGTACCAAGTAAAAATTACATAAAATGAACTTTTGAAAAAACAATTTGACATACTTGTGCTGAGAAATGTACATAATGGGGACACCTGCAACCTTGCGTATCCTTCTTTTCAGATCTCTGTCACATGTGGCCACAATATAACACTTGTGCTAATAATTTAATAATAATTTTATTATTTGTATAGTACAAAATCCATTAGATTGTGCTGAAAATATTGATATAACTGAGTGGTCAATTTACACTGTATCCTCAAGCAAATTTAAAGTTATAGTATAATCAAGTCTGTCCTCAAGAATCCTTCCCCACCATTAATCATACCATGTTTAAAAAGGTACTTAAATACATGTACAGATAGAGATTGACAGAAATTGAGTGCAGTTATTCAGTTAAAAGCATAATATTGAAATGAAGGGGCTTGAAATTAAGCCCCTTTCACTTCTATAAGTGATCAAAAAGGAATACAACTGTCTCTATATATTTTTATGAGAAAGGTGTTGAGGAGAAAGAATCAACAAAGTATCAGAATGAAAACTTCAAGAAGATCATTTAAAACTTAGAGGAGAAAAGGTCACATCATAATAAAAACGTATACCCTGTAAATGCAATTAAGAACCATTAGACCTACTCCATTATCAGGCAGCTGGCTCATTAATCATGCAAATACATGTTGAGTATGTACATGTTAACTTAAAAATGATTGTTCGTCATGGTAATTCAGTGATGCATAGGGAATCATTCTATTCATAACCCAGTGCAAATCATCATTATTACCATTATTTGATGCCCTGAGATGATCAGGTTTTTACCGCAAGAAGTAACAATAGAAGACCAGAAATTACATTTGCATACACAATACAGCCTTGAAAAGAAAAAAAGAATTTAAGAGATGTTAAGAAATACAAAAATGGAATAATTAATTTTACCTGTTGTATTCTGTTAACTATACAGTCATCTGCATAAGTTCCCTTGTGCATGCAAGGAAGGCGTTCAAAACGAGGATCCTTAGCCATTCTGAGGAAAACAAAAAAGTCATTTTTTT